AATCTGACTTTAAGAAGCAAAAACTAATTGAGACAAACAGAAGCTAAACTAAAAGACAGATAGAAGAACACTAATAAGAGATTTTAATACACCATTTTCAGTAGAAGATCAAGTGTAAAAACATAATTAGATATAGAATATCTAGGTAACATAATAAAGTAGATCTTAAGAATATATATCAAACTTTACACTATTGACAGGCACTACATCTTCATCCCAAGCATCTAAATATGCTTCACAAAAATTCATCTTATATTAGGTCATAAAGAAAACATCAGTAAGTTTCATAAAAAGTAGAAATAATACAATCAACACACTCTAACGAAATGTAGTACAATGAGAAATAGCTAACAACAAGAATGGATTTTTTGTGTGCAATTAAAAAAAAATCACTAAACAATTCCTGGGCTAAAAGGGAAATACAAATTGAAATGAAGAAATTTCTTAAAAAATAATGATAATGAAAGCACTACATATCAGAATCTACAGGGCATAATTAAAGCATTATCCAAAAAAAAAAAACTCATAGCACAAACTTTTATTATTTTCTTAAAAGAATACAAATAAACAAATAACTTCCCAGCTCAAAAAATTAGAAAACAAGTTATAAAATAAACCAAAAGAAAGCAACAATTAATAAAGATAACAGAAATTTATGAGATAGAGAATAGAGCAGTATACCAAATTAATAAAATACTTTTTTTCAAAAAACCAAGTAGAGAAACTATACTAGATAACTCGATCAAGAAATAAACCAAAGAAAGCTCACATACACAAAAATAAAAAATAACCAAGGAAAATACCCATTGGAAAAAGACAATTTAAAGATCGTAAGACATTACTTTGCAAACCACTATTCAAATAAATTTGGTAAACTAAATGAAATCGATCATGTTATAAGGAAATGCAGATCATCAAAATTGACCCCATTGTAGTAGAAAGTATAAATAAACTAGTTTCCATAGAAGAACCAGAGAAAGCTAACCAAGAACTAATAAACACACACATACATACTAGGCCCATAAGATTGCACAGTAGACTTCTACCCAACCTTTAAAGCCTAGGGACCCCCATTGCTCAATAAGTTACTCCCGAGTATTGAAATGAAAGAATGTTTCCTAATTCTTTTTGTGAAGCAGGTATAACTGATACCTAGATTTGATAAAGATACTNTCTTTAAAGAGGTAATTAAGGATTAAAAAGGTCATTGAGGTGGGCTCTAATCCATATGACTGGTGTCCTTATAAGAGGAGGATACTAGGACACAGAGGAAGGATCATGTGAAGACAGAGGGCAAATGACACGCAAACATGAAGATAGCCATTTACTAGTCACGGAGAGGGTCCTCAGAAAGAACCAACTCTGTCCACATCTTGATCTTGGACTTCTAGCCTCCAGAACTATAAGGAAATAAATATCTGTTGTTTAAGTCGCCCAGTGTATGGTCCTTTATTATGGAAGCCCTAGCAAACTAATACAATCCTCTACAGACATGAACCTCTTCTCTACATTTTTTATGAACTCTCACTTTGCACATTTTAAAATATATTCCTCCAAGAAATCTATTCTGGCTAGGTAGAAGCTGGCATGGCCAGTAACCAGTCATATATTAATTTGTCAGGGCGGTATTTTCTTCCCCTGTACTATTCTAATCTGTTTTCTGGTATACAATAAGTCCTCACTTAATATCATTGACAGGTTCTGTGACTTTAAGAGAAAAGACATAACAAAACCAATTTTACCATAGGCTAATGATATAAACAAGAGTTAAATTCCTACAGCATCTATCAACATTGTAACAAAATAATGTTGAATGAAACGATGTTATTTGAGGACATGCTGTATACCGTGAAATTTATAACCCACAAAAAGTTAGCGACGATTAAAATAAATTAATTAATAAACAGATAAAACTGGAATACACACACACACATGCACTCATTCATCCATCTTGTCTTGGTAGGAGATAAATTTCCCAAGACCATTTTGTTTGAACGGGATACATGAAAAGCAATACAGAGGCACCATACACATATTTAGCTATTTTACTAAGTAAATCATTTTAGTGGACAAAGATATATGTGTCTTATAGAATTATAAATAATCAGACACGTTGGAGCAGATTTCTCTCTGAAATATATAGGCATCTGTCACTAGCACAGGACAGTGTTTCTCTGACCTACGTGTGCATGAAAATCCCTGGGGGCTCTTGTTAGAAATTCAGATCCCCAAATCCCATCCCCAGACAGTGAGACCTCATGTTTCAAAACAGATCCTTAAACTACATGAAGGCCATCAGGAGTGTCCAGAGGGCCCACGGTACCTGGTAGATGGCCATGGCGCAGTGTTCCTGCAGTTGTTCATTCTCACTATTTAGGTTCTTTACTAGATTTTCAATTATCCTTTCCGCTTTGATTGCAGCTCGGTAACTTTCCTAGGAATATAAATGTAAATATTTATGTGTATATAATACATGCATATAAGTATCAATTTACATTTACTAATAATTACACTGAATACATTTTCTTAGTAAATACACTAAGGTCGAAAGTTAACATATGGGTATAACAATAAGAGAATTCAGTCCTTCTAATGAAATGCTGATTTCTTGAAAAAAAAAATCGGCATCATGATGGCCTTACAAATTGTTTTCGACTAAGGAAGGCAAGTAAATGAGAGCAAGACAAGAAGCAGGGCTGGCCTGNTACTATTTGGAAGTTTCCTAACATAAAGTTAAACTTCCACCCTACGACTCAGAAATTCCACTCCCAAAATAGGCAAAACTAATCAATAGTGATGGAAATCAGGAGGTGGTTGTATATAGTAGGAGCACGGATTGATTCAATAATAGCATGAGTAATCTTTCTTGAGGGAACAAAATGTTTTATATCGTCTTCTGATTGGTGGTTATATTAGTGCATACAATTGGTAAAATGTATCAGACTGAACAAGTAACCTAGAATTTTGAACAAAAAAGTCAGACAAAAATCAATAAGTACTATGTGCTTCCATTTGTGTATAAATAGAAACAAACCAAACTATAGTTTCTATAGATGCACTCTCAAATATAAAATCATGAAAACAAAGCAAGATACTCTCCAGAGTAAAGAGAAGTGGCACTATGTGGGCTGTGATAAGGAGGGGCTGCCAGGGAGTTTTTTGGGTGATGACAATATTCTACTTCTTGGCTTGGGTGGCAGTTACGTGAGTCTCCCCTTTCTAATAATTTACTAATTTGCACTTCATGCATGTTATATTTCACCAATTGAAAGTTTCTAAAATGTTTTTTAATTTCATTTTGAACACACACATACAGTCTCTCATAGCAAATAGTATTCAACAGCTGTTGAACTAAGCCCATATCACAACTGGCTGGATGAAATATATAATGTGGAGAAATAAAATCCACATAATCCTCAAATTAAAAGTCCCTAGAGCCTAGAGCTTGTTTTAAAATGAGAAAACTAAGAGTCAGAAGATTAAATGATTCACATAATTACTTTTCACTTGGCATTTTGGTATCTCAGTTAAATCCATATGCTTTAAAAAGTATGCAGATGAAAAACAAATAACAAAAAAGAAAACGTGAAAGGAAGGAAAAATGTTCTTACTGATACAAACATGTAAAGCATATATTTTATTTTATGTGTTGCATAAACCCTATAAGGTCACAAAGGCTGGTTTGTGGTAAAAGAAATATCTGGGCAGCCACAAAGAGATTAAATCTCTTCTGTATACAAAAAAGCATACTTTTCCTTTTCCCCCCTTTTTAAAAAGAACAAATAAACCCAATGTAAAAATTAAAAAAAAACACACTATGTAAATGCAACATAATTATATTTAAACCACAGAAGACAGGAAATTTAGAGTTACAGATTCCATGGTAAGTTTTAATTCTATCCCTGTGTATATGTTTTATAAAAGAGTCTTTCATTACATGATCACATAACAGTAGACCATGTAACAATCAGTTCAGCCAATGTTTAGTTTACAATGTGTGGAAGGAAAATATTTTATAGGATACATTGTAGGTAATTAGTATATTATTTAGGTAAATTGTTACATAAAATTTCTTAGAATCTTGGGTATTTACAGGCTATTAATAAAAACACTTTTTTTCTTGATTATCTTCTAAAAAACATGAAATTTACTTACATTTCAATGTTTTGAATCATGTATGCCAGGCATTTTGTATAAAAGGACAATAAAGACTAAAGTAAATAATGAAGATTCACAAGTTCATAACAAACCCCCAAAACAGCCCTTATTATCACTATTGAAGTTGCTAGGGTTCCTGACAACTCATATATTTGAAAATGGATTTTTTTCAAAAGGAAGATAAAAACATTTATCTTGCCTTTCCTGTATGAACAATAATTCAGGTTAAACAAATAATTAGCAGTCAACTCTGAGACAAACCTAGTAAAAGTATTAGGATATAGAAATAAAGAAATAAAGAAAAAATCCTCAAGGCCTCTGGACAAAAANTGTGTGTCTGTGTATAGTATTGCTATTGCTCTTAAATTGTACCACATTTAAGTCTTTTTTTCCTAATTAGATCATAGCTTAATCTCCTTTGTTTTTTCCCCTCTTCAGTTCACAGCTCTTGTTAGGTGCCCAAAATATGTTTGCTGAGTTAAGAAACAAGAAGAATACTACCTAGAACTACTTAGGATCTAAGTTAGGTAGAGATAGATAATTCTTCCCTATATTACAGAGAACAATTTTTTTTACTGTATTAAAGATTCTGCCTGGGAAATTGTTTACTGGGTATTTGAAGTCCTGCCAATATGCCTCGCTTCAGTTCTCCAGCTCATCCAAAGGAACGATTTGGTTCTTTAAGTCATGATTTGGTAAGCTTGTGGTTATTTATATGTAAACACATTTTGCTTTTTCATCATTCATGCACACCAATTATAAGTGATGACATTATTCTATGACTACCCAAGTGTTTCCCTTAACACTCTCAAGTCAAATTTTTCAGTCTGTAGGCCACTTACATCATACTTTCACGTTCTACTGCACAAGCACCAACTGTTTTCGTGACATTGACAAGAAGAGCTTGGTTGATTCCAACGAGGAGGTTCACAAGTGGTTGAATGCCACCGCATCTCCGGACAATGACTCGGTTTTCATACTCCTGACAACATTCTCCCAAGGCACCAACCACATTAACAAGGACTTCCTCAGGCTGGTCAGTTAAAAGTCCCACCAAAGTTTCAATGGCGTTGTATTCCCGAAACCTAAGTTTATCACAAGAAAAAGAGGTGGGAGGGAAGGAAAGAAGAGAACAGTTTTAGTTTTGGTATAAAGTTAGCATATGATAACATTAACAGTAATAATAGTAATAGCTAAAAATTAGTAAGTGCCCACTATATGCTCATTCCATCCTTACAACAACCTTGTGATGTAGTTTATATTATAATCCTCATTCTCAAAAAACTAATCTGGAGCTTGGTAAATTTTGAAGCCAGCACCCATACCTGGCCATCTGTGCCCTTCACACGCAGTACAACCATGAAGACAACTACAACTTCTTCCAAATCTGACCAACGATGAGTTCACAATGCTAAGGGCTATTTCCCCATGTTACAGAGACTATTTTACACAAACAAAGTAAAATAAACCTATTTTGTGTTAAACTGGACATGTGAATCTCTTGTTAAAGAAAATCATCACACTAAGACAAGGAAGAGTTGCCTCAGAGCATTCATCATAGAGTGTGACAAGTCTAAAAATGAATGAAGAGATAAGTTTGAACATGAAATCAAATCCAATGGTCATAAAGTTTACAAATACTTTGAAATTCAATGAAATCACATTTGAAAATGACTACCTTTTAAGATTAACTGGTTAGTTGACATTTAGCTCACTTATCTTGTTTATCTCTAGAAAAAGGAGAAGAATGGATCCACTTGCATCTCTATAAATTCAGGGGGGGGGGATTCATCCCCTCACCTTGATAGGTCTCTGCAGAAAATATCAGAGATACTTCTTATTTAAATGGCTGCTCATATGCAAAACAGTCCATTTGCACAAAAAGATTATGTCAGCAAGCCTCTGAGCCCAACTGGGGCACAGAAAACCACTGGCAGGTGCTGGGATGGGAAGCAGGAATCTTTCATGTCTAATAACTCCCTAATTCGGACAACTTAGTCCAAAATGCATATCTAGGAAAACTACAGGAGTAGCATTAAAATGGACTCTTTCTTAAAATAGCATTAAATTACAAGAATATGTTTCTGTGGCCATGTTTTCATTATAGAATATGGAAGGCCTTCTCTTACTTGGTCACATTCTCTTTGCTGATGGAACATTTCCATATTGCCCCCGTGACAGCGGCCAAACGTTCTTTATTGTCAGTATTATTGAGCAGACTGGCCAGGGGTTTAAGTCCTCCGTGCAGCCTAACGAGGTCACGGGTTTCCTTATCGTCAGCACACTGCACAAAAAGGCAAGTCAGAGGCTGTCAGTGATCAAGGCGTATCAAGATTTCAGTGATTCTAAAAGAGGCTGTTGTTCTAATAGCTATGAAACTTCTTTTCAGAGAGTATCATTTTCTGAAGGCACCTCCAAGTAAAATATAATTCCCTATACTGGCAGCTATCTGACAGTGTCTCTCTTCCCTTACAGGGTTTTCGCAATGTCTAGCAGTTTCTGCATACTTGGCAATTCTCTCAAGCCAGTTCTGAGGTAGCCTGGGCTTCCACCAAGACAGAGGCAGAGGTCAGCAAGAAACCTAGAATGCCACAAGCACAGATAGGGGATTTCTGCAGTGATGCAATCCAGAGTCTTGGGAAAGCACAGTAGAGGAGATAGATCAGTGAAAGGGATTCGGCCAGACCTTCAATGACTCCCAAAGTCTTCGAGATGAGGAATTTCCCCATTAGAGTTTCAATGCCCAGCACAGTAGGTTATATCAACAGCAACTTATATTTTATTCAGACATGTTTATCCACATGTTTGTGTCATCCTTTGAAATAAAGATGCACTGCATAGACGTTCCCAACTGATCTTCCTTCTCAGATTATAGAGCCAAAAGATGATTAATTTAGTATAGGCTTGCTATTATCTAAGCATCCTATGGTCTCTGAGGCCACAGGATACAGATGCAAGTCCTGCGTCATGTGTGAGAACCACTAGAAAAAATCCTCATCCTAATGCACCCTGAGGCACCAGCCATATTTATCTTCTATTTGTACCTTTCCATTCTGGTTCAGTAACAACTTTTAAAAATTAATCACCATTATTAACCAACCCTTAATGGCTACTCATACAAAGCATATATACAAGTCTAGGCTATATATATATATCCTTGTTATGAGTTGAATTGTGTGCCCTCAAAACTCTTAAATCGAGGGCCGGCTGAGTGGCTCAGTTGGTTAAGAGCTCACTCAAGAGTTTGAGCTCTGAGCAAGAGCAGTTCAATGCCTGGCCCAAGCTGAGCTGCCACTAAGCTGCCAATAGGTAGCAGGATGGCTCAGCTA